CTCCCCCGTCCCTCCTCCCCTGGAGCCCTCCCTTGTGAGTCCAAACTCCCCGGTCCCTCCTCCTCTGGAGCCCTACCTCGTGAGTCCAAACTCCCCCGTCCCTCCTCCACTGGAGCCCTACCTTGGCTAGCCAGACCACAAGAGCCACAAAGACATCGCCCTACCTGTTTCTCCATCTCCTTTGACGTGTCGTTCATGAAGTTCAAGGTCAGCTTCGATCGGTTGTCATCCGAGGAACTTTTCAGCTGGGCAAAACGGTACGTCCACAGAATACTCTGTCCCAGCGAACCACACAAAAATACAGCATTACAAAGTGACAAAGCCATTCATACAACAAACTTGTCTCAAAGTTCAGGATAACAAACATATTCCTTTACATAGAGTATTTTTCATCGCACCAGAGAACCACACAAAAATAGAGAATTACAAAGTGACAAAGTCATCCACACAGCAAACATGTTAGCTAGCTCTAAGTTCAGGATAAAAAAACTGATTCATTTACAAAGAATATGTTTAAGGGTTGAAGCTGGCTTTTGATTTAAAAAACAAAAAGATTGAAATCATGACAGGTACCTCACAGAAGCTTGTATGTTTGGGGTTTTTTTTTTTAGACAGGAGGACTTGCCACTTTGTAAAATATTGAAAAATTACACCCTTTTAGAACCAACAAATGCACACTTGCAACCCAAAATAGACATGGTGAAATGCAGAAAATATCTTTTTCCCCTTAATTTACAATATCCACAGGAATTTCAGAGTGAATGAGACTCAACACCTAATAACTGAGTATTCAGACCAAAGATCCACGTCCATCTGCCTCCTTCTGCCACAAACACAGACCTACCTAATTCTTCGACCTCACCTGCTAGAGTTCAGACTGAAATCCCGCTTCTAACCAATGATGGTAGTCCACGTCTGTTTCCCTAGTTAGCCTCTGAGCAGCCATAAAGTTTCTTACGTCAAGTCCCGTAGAGTGGGGCAAATTCAGCCAGGCTAAGTTTTTTCAAACACACTTTTTTGTTGAAACGGTTAAATTTGACAATATATTCCTACACCTGGTCAAATTTTTAAGAGAAAACATTCCAAATACGATCAAATTCGACCTCAGTTCCTCAATTCCCGACAAATTATCAAAATAGACCCGTTGTGTGATGACAATTAGCCCCAGGCCGAAAAGACGCCCCAATGAACAGACACGTGGTGTGGTATGAACAGAAGGACGTGAAACTTTGGTCAGAATGCGCCTTTACGTTTTCCACGCACGCAGCGCACAGAGCGGGCAACGCTTATCCCCACAGACCAGGATACAGATGTGGTATACGTTATAATAATACATAATAAATAGCATTTGTATAGCGCAAATCCCCCCTCAACAGCAGGCTCTATGCGCTTTACACTATATTACTACCCCAGCAGACCATGGAACACTCCAAAACATTCTCAGCTTCCCAGGAAGCATACAGTGCAAGCAGCTGATTAAGCGCTCAAACACTAACTAACTGACAAGATCTTTCGCTGTCTATAGCCGGGTACCTATTCCCACCTGGGTGAAGTGAGGAAAATTCGTGTAAAGTGCATTTCCCAAGGACACAACGTCGGGACCCTGACGGGATTCGAACCCACGACCTTACGGTTGCAAGTCCGAGAGCCTAACCATTAGGCCAACAACGCTATAGCACACCGTCACCGATCGGCGTCCCGTGAAAGCAAAGTATTAACAAATGTGAAAAGTTTCCTGAGAAGAGGGTTAACTCTTTAAGCTCAGAGTTTTTTCTACCGTTTCCTGGAGTTTTTTCCCACAGTGACCTAAACCTGGTGCACTATGTGTCATTATAACCCCAAACACTTGCCTCCAACTTCTGAATAGCGGAAACAAAGGCTTAGTCATTACTTAAAAACTTGGTTCGGGAATACTTCCACAAAACAAGCAAAAGCTAGCATTAAATAAAACCAAAGAGTCGTCACTAGTACCAGACGCTCCCTGCGCCCGACGGGGAACAGGACTATTACCGGCGGACGCTCCCAGCGTTTGATGGGAACAAAGAGTTAAGTTTGTACCTTGGTCTGGTGGTCGTAGAGAGAGAAGCCTTGCTCCAGGTCAATGATGAGGCCAGACAGGTGATCCTGCCACGTGCAGCCAAATGTCTTGCTCTAAGGACATGGAGGGGGGGGGGGGAGGGAGGGGTGAGTTGGAGAGGACATATGATAAAACAAACGTCTTGCTCTACAGGACATTGGGGGGGGGGGGTGAGTTGGAGAGGACATATGATAGGACATATGATACAACAACCTTTTGCTCTACAGGGCACAGATACAGGACACAAGGGGGGGGGGGGGTCAGTTACACATGAGATATCATGGGATGGACAATAAAACAAACGTCTTGCTGTACAGGATATGGGGGGGGGGGGGGGGAGATCAGTTGGAGAGGACATATGACAGGACAGACGATAGGACATAAATGATAAAACAAACGTCTTGCTCTACAACACACACGGATACAGATGGTGGGGTGGATCAGTTGTTTTACTTTTAGCATGGTTTTACGGTGCTCACAACTACATAAGGTTATATGGGCGCCAAGGGGTGGATGTCAACAGAGAAGTCCAAACGGGGAATCAGGCTTACTCTGCTCACCTCTCTAGCCTCAACAGCACAAAGTCTGCTTCGGATATCAAGGCTCCTTGGAAATAGCAGTTTACAAGAGTGTGACAAACATACAAAAGAAGAAGAAAAATGACGATAGTAAGGATGAGGAAAGAAAAAGCAGCAGTTCCCCCTATGTTGTTCCGGCACAGTATGAGCATGGCATTGATAAATCAGCCCATTTACAATTCTACTGTGTATAAGAACATGTTACTATCCTCCCTTTGAGAATGGCCTAAAGACACTTCAGTCAGTGGCACTGCCCTGGGTTGTTGATTTTTTCTGAAATAACATCCCCTTCTACCAAAAAATTTTTTTTTTAAATAAAGAAAAAACCAAACCAAACCTATCCAAAGCCAGAGTGGAGTGAACAGTGAACAAGCTGGGGGAGGGAGATCGAGGAGACTTTTTTTTTGGGTAAGTGTTTTACGGCGCTCGCAACTGCATAAGGTCATATGAGCGCGCTGAACACATTGAACTTTTCTAGTTGGTAAGAAATTTTGAATTTTGCGCGGGTGGCTGCCGAAGCCTCCTCTTATAGATTTTAGTGATCTTTAAAGAGCGCTACTTGCACACGGGCCCTCAGAAATTTTTCGCCCTTGTCTGAGAAGGCTAGGTATAGATCTTTCATACCAGAAGATCAGGGGTGTGGTTGAAAGACAGCAAGAAGGAGCCAAGGAGTAGCAGTAGAAAGGCTGCAGAAAGAGTCATGAGCCCAGAGGAGGGGGGCAAAGGAGGTGAGGGGGGTGGGGGCAGAAAGAGGAAACGAAAGCAGACTACAGAACATTGTTAGAGAGCAGGAAAGGAGGTGAAAGGAGACAATTTTAGAAAAGAAAATATTTCCGTCGCTACCCGGATTCGAACCCGGGACCTTTGAATGAGAGGCGAACACATTAACCTCTAGGCCACAAGCAGAGACAAGAGAGGACTCACCACCAGACGTTTGACGGCCAGGTTGCTGGTCCTGTACCAGGCCTGCTCCAGGGTGAGTAGCTCCGCCCGGCTGTCCACGCTCAGACAGATGGTGGCCTTTGACCCCGTCTGTATTGTGCAGCAGTGCTGCCGGTTGTCCGGGAGCTCCTTGTCCTGTTACAATGAAGACCATTTTAAAAAAATAGTAGAGGGTTTTACGGCGCTCGCAACTGCATAAGGTCATATGAGCGCCAAGGGGTGGGTGTCAACAGAGAAGTCTTTACAGGGAATCAGACTTACTCTGCTCACCTCTCTAGCTTCAACAGCACAAGGTCTGCTTCGACTATCAAGGTACCCCAAAATAGCAGTTCACAAGAGAGTGACAAACATACAAAAGAAGTAGAGAAAAATGACAATAGTAAGGATCAGGAGTGAAAAAGCAGCAGTTCCCTGTAGTAAATCACGCACAGTAATGAGCGTGACATGAGTCAGCCCATTTACAATTCTACTATGCTTGAACGAGAAATGTCCCCCCTTTGGGAATGGCCTAAAGACACTACAGTCAGTGGCACTGCCCCGCTGGGGTAATGCAGACCATTTGTCACAGTACAGCACAATTAGGTCACGATGCATTGAGGGAGGCATTGCGCAGCCAAGAGCGAAGTGCTCGCAGCTAAAAGGGATTTGAAAACAACAACAACAGCAATATGTCACAATGCAAACAAATTTAATTACATCCTTTTTATGTGAGTGGATTCATGTTCAGTACAATGTTATGAAAATGACTGCATTTATATACGTAATTTGCGAATTGCATTGTGTATATCATTGTATTATGTATTTTGTACGCACTCATTCCGTAACTATGTGTAAGCGTGCGCATGTGATAAGCAAGTAGATGTGTGTGTCGGGAGCGTGAATATTGTTCATACAAGCATTTACCTATGTAAAGCACCTAGAGCTGTGTTTACACATGAGTGGGCACTATAGAAATGATCTTCATTATCATTATTAATTTCTACTGACAATTCTGTCACAACTCCTACCCATCACAGTACAATTAACCTTTTTGTCTCTAGTTTTAGTAAGAGTTTTACGGTACTTGCAACAATTAGGTCATATAAGTGCAGAAGATTAGAGGTGTTACAAGAGAGTAACAAACACAAAAAGGAAGGAGGATAGATAAAGACGATAGATGTTTGACTGGAAAGAAGAAGCAAACCACACCAGAGCACCCGCCAACCACCCACAATTAACCTTTAACTGTCGCAATACAGACAGTTAACTCCTACCTGTCACAAAAGGCAATCATGTATTACCCATCATAATTTTAAGAAATGAAAAGTCACAAACATTTTAAAAATCTAAAAAACAAAACAAACAAAAAATTAAAAAATAGAAAAACCCCAAACAAATAACGAGAACATTTGAGATTAAGAACTGAAAATAAAAAAAGTAACACTGACAAAAACCCCCCAACAAAAGTAGAACCAAAAGATCAAAGCACAGCCCCAACAAACAAAGGTCTGTGACTGAACTGACGCTCTGACCAAAGTCAGCTGCCAGCCTCCATATGTGATTCATCTCGGTGAAATCAGGCACTCGTCAAAATAATGAAATCAAAGAGAACTGCATTTTTCTGGCCACTTGACAATTTTTTTCGAATTTTCTTTTTTTGGTTCAAAACTTTTTATATCCATTTAAAAACACATTTCTATGCGATTTTACTGAAAAACTTTGATTAAAGGCACAAAAAATGTAAATTTTCAGTTTCCGAGGACTCTCAGGCTATGGAAATTTCCAAGCTTTGGCAACCATTTTCTCACTAACTTTATTTCTGAAACCAGGCGACCCTGACCTCCTTCAGTCGCAAATATTTCGAATTTTATTAAATATAGATGGATTTTTTTTCACCAAAAGGAAGGCAGAAGAACAGGCTTTAAGATGATACCAATAACCCCATACACCCAAAAATTGACCAGCGCCTGATTCCACCTCGTCGTGGCACATATTCTGACTCACCTGGAGCAACTTGAGCATACATTCGTAGACTTTGTACTTCATCTCACACTTGGACCAGTCGCTGGCGTGCATCTGAAAGTTACAATTTAGTTTTAGTAGAGGTTCTACGGCGCTTGCAGCTGCAAAAGGGCATATGAGTGCCAAGGGGTGGATGTCCACAGAGAAGTCCTTACAGGGAATCAGACTTACTCTGCTCACCTCTCTAGCTTCAACAGCACAAAGTCTACTTCGACTATCAAGGCAAGCGGAAATAGCGGGTCACAAGAGTGACAAACATACAAAAGAAGTAGAGGAAAATGACAATAGTAAGGATTAGGAAAGAAAAAGCAGCAGTTCCCTGTTGTAGTTCAGACACAGTTATGAGTATGACATTGTTGGATCAGCCCTTTTACAATTCTATTGTGCATTACAACGAGAAATGTCCCCCCTTTGGGAATGACCTAAAGAGTCTTCAGTCAGTGGCACCGCCCCGGGGGTGAAAATTTCAGAAAGCAAAGTATTTTCCTCAAAGTCTTAGTTTTAGTATGAGTTACACAGCACTCCCACCACAAAGAGGTCAAAGAAGTGCTAATGAGTTTGTTTATTTAAGTAAAGAGAAACGGATCTACACAAAAAAATGGTCATTAAGTGCTGAATAGACAGAAAGGTCTTGAACATCTCTCACTGGCAAAATTGAAGGCAAATGAGGCAGGGGTAGGCCCAGAACAACATACTTAGGGAACCTAAACAAATGAGCAACAGGGAAAGATCAGGGAAAAGTTGCTTTTTTTAAGAGCGTCCAAGCAAAGAAAGGAATGGAGAACCATGATTGCCGATGTCTGTCGCAGATCTGGCACTGGATGATGACGAGTGGTGAGAAAAAGTAAGATAGACAGACAGAAATGACAAAGAGAAAGTAAAGATGGCACCCACCAACCATCCGCTGTGCCAAAGATTAGAGGTGTAACTAGAGATTAACATACAAAAAAAAGAAGGAGAGATAAAGGACGATAGATTTTTGATAGGACAGAAGGAGCTAACCACACCAGAGCGCCTGCCAACCACCCAAAGAAAGCAGGATGATCCGCAGAAAAAAAAGAAAATAAAAGTGAGGCAGTGTGATGCAATCAGGCGCTCTTCAATATATTGAAAGTCAAGAAACTGGCATTTTCCCGCAGGTTTGGGGACTTAAATCGAATTTTTGTCTTTTGGCTCAACGCTTTTCATGCCTATTAAAGAACAAATTTCTGTGTGGAATTTACTTAAATAAGTTGATTACAAGCACAAAAGATATAAATTTTCAATTTCCTCAGACTCTCAAGCAAAGGAAATAACTCCATCTTTGACGGTCATTTCCTCGCTAATTTTTCCTCTGAAACTAGGCCTCCTTCAAGTGCCCAATATCTTGACTTGTATCTAAGATAAATGGATATTTGTGTCACAAGAGAAAGGCAAATGGACTGGCTTTAAGATGCTGCCAATAACTCCATATGCTCCAAAATTGACGAGCGCCTGATTCCACTGCGTCATGACACAAATAACACATATTTGAACAGTTCTGCTTGAACAGTTGTCCGTTAGAGCAGGCTCGACTGTATAAAGTACTGCCTCAACTATAGCCCACAGACAAACACACCAACACGTCAGTGTTGAGATTTCCGTGACTCACCGGAGGGACGTCAAACAGGTAGATGTCCGCCGCTTTGAGAGCCACAAACTTCTCCTTCCACGTCTGCCAGTGCTGGGTGCCCGACGCACGCTCGTGGGCCCAACACATCAGCTGTATCTGCACACAAATACAAGGGACGGAAATCACAGATTAATAGTGCTGTAAAAAATTTGCAGTGCAACTTATTCTCAGATATCTTTTTAACGGGTGAATTAGTGTCACCCATACTTTGTACATCAATTTGTCTTAACTTAATCACATTTTTCCACAACAACCTAGGCTCGATTAAAAAATCTTTTCTTCATAAAATTATATAAAATACTATAAATCTCCATCACGTGGAAAATGGGACTGTTCACAGCACTTTCCACTTCTCTTAAAAGTCCCATTAGACAGGGAAAACTTACAAGGAAAGGAGGAAAAGTCTGAGGACTTCCAACAAATACTTACATGATCCTCTTTGGTCATCAGTTGATTGGTCATGCCAATCTGGAAAAGGAAAAAGGAATATTGACACTTTGTGAAGAGGTCGATGAAAGCAAACTTCTTCTCGACAAAAAAAAAAGGAGAGACAAGGGCAGAAGACGTTTGATAGGAAAGAAAAAGCAAACCACACCAGAGTACCTGCCAACCACAAACTGCGATATAAATGTGATCGACAGATGAACAAATGCCCCAACTTAGACAGAAGAACATCTCCGTTATTGGAGGGTGTTGTTGTTGTCGTTGTTGTTGTTGTTGTTGTTAGCGATCCAGTAGCATCTGAGCGTTAACTGTTCTGCATGATGCCATTCGGTAATAGCTGCATGTCTGTTCTAATTGTTGTCTTGACGAGTAGAGGCAGTCAGATGTGTGGGGTAGCTTGGGAAGAAAACATCCCCCTCAGATCGGTTAGTTTTCTACAGAAGGACAGAGGATGTTCCACTGTCTCTGAGGGGTAGTCACATAGTGGGCAGGCAGCAGACTGCTTTACTCCAATTCGGTTGAGATGTTGATTGAGGGGCACATGTTGTGTTTTAAATTGGAAGATTATGGATTGATCTCCCCTCCCCAACTCATTGATTGGATCTTTGACCAGTGGTTTCTTCATGTGGCCATACATCATCCTTCCTGTCGTACCTGTGGCCCATGCGTTCATCCAGTCTTCCTCGACGTTTGACTTGATCATTAGGCAGCAGGTGGTGTAACCAGTAGGAATATCAGGCTGAGGGAGGCTAGCTCCTCATTGGAGGATGTGACAAAAACTGACAGCAGCCCGTATGTGAAGTCACATGCCAGAGGAAGCCTCGGAAAAAGGTTCTCATACAGAGCTGTCTACCAATCCATGATTACAAAAAGAAGCTTTCCTCAGTATTCTCCATAAAAACAGAAGTTTGGGGGGGAACAAAATTTGAGTCTCAAGAATTCCAGTATATCAACCATGACAAATAAACAGGTATTGCAAATACATGCACATAAATATGTGTATTTTAGCATTATTTATGATAAGTCGTGCACAAATATTGCCAATAAACCTGTGCATTTTCAGATCATTTACACGAAGTTGCCTACAACCGATGGAAATGGAATAATTTAATAAAGAAAATCAGATTTTTTGTAAATCTGATTGGATTTCTTTGTCGAGATGTCCGATGGCGTGTTGCACAAAGGGTTTAATTGTGTAGGACTGAAAGATCTTGTCAGTTTGTTAGTGTTTGAGCGCTTGACCAGCTGCTTGCACTGCATGCTTCTCAGGAAGCTGAGAATGTGTCTGAGTGTTCTATGGTCTGCTGGGGTAACAATATAGTGTAAAGCTCATAGAGCTTGCTTTCGAGTGGGGACATGAGCTATACAAATGCTATTAATTAATATTATTTATTATTACTTGTGAAAGACATCACTCACCATCTGTGTCAACAGCCCCTGTGTCTTTGTCGTGATCTTCCAATAGCGTGTTACACAAAGGGTTTAATTGAATAATGTGTCACTCACCATCTGTGTCAACAGCCCCTGTGTCTTTGTCGTGATCTTCAGGTGCCACTCGTCCAACGACGTTTTGTTGGCAAAAAAAACTGGACCCGACTTTGAGCCATCCACCCCCACGACATCGAATGAGTTGTCTCTGGAAAAAAATTTAAAAAATGTGTCAAGACATGGTGGAATCAGGCACTTGCCAATTTTGGGACATAGGGAGTTATCGAAAACATCTTCAAGCTCGTTCATTCCTCTTGCTTTAAATGGAAAAGATACTAATCTATCTTAAATAGAACTCGATATATATATTTGCGATTGAAGGAGGTGGGGGTTGCCTGGTGTAGGAGGTAAAATTAGTGAGAAAATAGCTTTCGGGAATTTCTGATTAGTCTGGATTTGAACATGGCAGAATCTGGATTTTATTAACAACCAGAGAGTCATGTGCGAAACACCACCAACGTAACACACAGTCACAACATGACGACCCTGTACGGCACTCACCTGAGCTTGTCAGTGCCACACACGTAGAGGAGACCCGGGCATACAATAGTCTCACCACTCAACTACACCACCGACGTAATACAGTCGCTTCAAAGCACAAGGGGGCTATCCCGAAAAATGCTGTTTTGAGAAAGTCGAAGGTAAAGTTCAGTTTCTTTAAAAGACAAGGAGAGTTTCTGTATTCAAACAAATGTACACACCAATGAAACCAAACATCTCTTGGTAGGACAATGCCCACTTTTGGTGTAGGTCAAGATTTCTGGAAACCCCCGAAATCTGGGTTAGCCCGCTTGTCCTTAAAAGCGACCATATGTGGTCACACACTGACAACTGTGTATGTACGGGACTTACCTGAGCTTGTCAGTGCCACAGACGTAGAGCGAGACCCGGGCATACAAGAGCGGGATGGTCAGTGCGGTCATCCACTCTTTCTCTAGCCGGGGAAGGCTGGCCAGGGGGGTGTTGTCCTGGCACAGGGGACAAAAAGACGAGCACCGATTGAAAACTTTTCTTATAGGACAAGACAGATGATTTTCTATTGACTTAGCATTGGAAGAAACAGACAGTGATTTCACTATGCTCTGTGACATAAGGTTGGTTTTAGTAAGAGTTTTACGGCACTTGCAACACCATAAGGTCATATAAGTGCCGGAGATTAGAGGTGTTACCAACACAAAAAAGAAGGAGGACAGATAAAGACAATAGATGTTTGAAAGGAAAGAAGGAGCAGACCACACCAGAGCACCCGCTCAAATTGTAAAAAAAACCCAGAATAAATCAGGGACTTTTCTTTTCTTTCAATTCATTTCTATTTCCGATTAACTGTGTTCTGTTAAAGTGGACTCCACTGTATGAACGTACGAGTATAACATTGTATTATCTCTCTCTCTCTCTCTCTCTCTCTCTCTCTCTCTCTCTCACACACACACACACACACACACACACACACACACACAAACACTCACACACATACTTGAACTTTGTTATCTATTAGTTTAAAATGTGTTTTAGTTTTTTTAGTTTTAGTAAGATTTTAAGGCGCTCGCAACTGCAAAAGGTCACATGAACACCAACGGGTAGATGTCAACAGAGAAGTCCAAATGGGGAATCAGGCTTACTCTGCTCACCTCTCTAGGCTCAACAGCAATAAGAATTTTACTGCACTTTTAACACAAATAGGTCATTTAAGTGACAACTTTAAGAGGTGTCAGTAGTGAGTAAAATACAAAGACAAGAAGGAGGAGAGATGAGAACGACAGATGTTTGAGAGGAAACAAGGAGCATACCCCACCAGAACACCCACCAACCATCCACCCAGTGTTTTACTTCACTGAAACAATACAACTTTTGGTCAACAGTCAAAGGTTACCGTACCTGCTTTGAACATCCTGCACCATCTCGGCCCTCATTTCCTGCCAATGAGAAAGTTGAAAAAAAAAATCACATTCACAGATCACAGAAGAATAAGCTGAGAAGTGTAGAAGCCTTGAGTGCTACCAAAGATCGTGTATAACAACATAGTGCACTCCTCTCATTGAGCCAATTATAAAAGTGTCCTCAAAATTTGGTGGCGCCCTCTTCGAAAAAGAGCGGACTTTGCGAACAGAGATACCCTACTTGTGTGAAAAATAAGTAAAACTAACAAGCTGTACTTTTCCTATTCTTCTTCAGGACAAACGAAAGGGAGCTTCAAAACAAAGACTGCAGCGACATCTGAACCAATGCGCGGACTTCCGCGGACACTTTTTCGGCCGAGTGAACAATCTTGTTACGTAAGATCTTTGGTGCTACTCAGAAACTGAAGACTTGTTGAGTACTTTGAGTATACAGATATCTACAGTAGTACACTGTTGTCCATGAAAATCAAAAACTGCTACACTCACTGGTAGGAATATATGTCTCATCTTAAGCCAAATAGCCGATGAAAGCATACATTTTAATTGAGGTTTTCTTGTTTCAGAATGACTTCAGTTGTATTGGGGATAAAAAAGAAAATTACTTAATATTTGGAAATCATGTAAAATCAGATATCTGCAACATTCAAAGATATACAATTTTAACTGACATACACAGACTAGAGTAACTGTTCTACTGACATACACAGACTAGAGTAACTGTTATACTGACATACACACAGACTAGAGTAACTGTTATACTGACATATACATATACTGACATACACAGACTAAAGTAACTGTTATACTGACATACACAGACTAGAGTAACTGTTGTACTGACATATACACAGACTAGAGTAACTGTTATACTGACATATACACAGACTAGAGTAACTGTTATACTGACATACACAGACTAGAGTAACTGTTATACTGACATACACAGACTAGAGTAACTGTTATACTGACATATACATATACTGACATACACAGGCTAGAGTAACTGTTATACTGACATACACAGACTAGAGTAACTGTTATACTGACATACACAGACTAGAGTAACTGTTATACTGACATTGCCAACAGTCCAATTCTGTCATGAACAGGCTAGAGCAAACGTAACACTGACATTAGGCAGTGACACTGACACTAGACAAAGAAGTAGAGGGACCAGAGCACACCAGGGTGCCTGCCAATAACCCCCCCCCCCCCAACCACTCTCCCTGTAGAATAAACGGTCAGTACACATAAGATCTCAAACACAGATAACAACAACAACAATATTAACTCTTTAAACCTCATCGGATGTAGGGAGCGTCCTGCAGTAATAACCCTGTTTCCCATTGGACCCTGGGAGCCTGCGATACTAGTGACAACTGATTTATTTCATTTAGTGCAAGTTTTGGCTTGTGTTTCGGAACTATTCCTGAACAAAGTTTTTTAGTAATCACTAAGCCTTTGTTTCTGTCAATTGGAAGTTGGAGGCAAGCTTTTGGGGATATGATGAAACAAAATGCACCAGGTTTAGGTGACTGTAGAAAAAACTACGGGAAACGGTGCAAAAAACTCCGGGTTTAAAGAGTTATTTGACTTCACAATGTATCAGTGCCAGCCACCTACCTTTGTTGAGGAAGTAGGAGGCCGGCCTGAAGTGGCGCACCGACAAACACACTGAGTCCTCCACTACGTCCTTGAGCAGGGAGACAACCTCGTCGTGGGTGCAGCTCTCTACGTTCACACCGTTCACCTGGAGAAACAACGCCATTATTAATTATTATATATATATCGTCGGCGGAGAATTCTAACCGTCCAACTCTGATTTAGTAAATTTTGCAGGAGAGACAAAAAACTGAATTCAAAGGCTCCTATGGGGATTTACTATCTTTAAATGCGCTAGACTGGAATACATGACTCTACTTTTAAGTATTTAAAACAAAATTGCTGAAATTTTATTATTTTAAGTGCTAAACAGGAGTTATACGGATAGACCGCTCAGTTTTGGATTTCTAACCGTCCAAGTGTCGACGAACGAATTGTTCGTT